TATTTCTCATACTTCTGGAGACTGGGAAGTCCGAGATCAAAGTACCAGCAGATCTGGTAAGAGCCCTCTTCTTGGCTTGCAGATAGTCACCTTTTTGGGGGGGAGGGGGGCGGGGCAGTGAGGAAGATTGGCCCTGAGCTAGTACCAGTTGCCAATCTTCCTATTTTGCTTGAGGAAGAGTGGCCCTGAGCTAACATCTGTGCCCATCTTCCTCTATTTTGTATGCAGGTCACCACCACAGCATGGCTTGATGAGTGGTATAGGTCTGCACCCGGGATCCAAACCCGTGAACCTGGGCCACAGAAGTGGAGCATGCTGAACTTAACCACTACGCCACCAGGCTGGCTCTAGATAGTCACCTTCTTACTGTATCCACACATGGTGGAGAGAAAGCAAGTTCCAGAATCATCTTCTTATAATGATACGAATCTCATCACAGAGGTCCCACCCTCATGACCTCATCTAAATCTAATTACCTCCTAAAGATCCACCTCCAAATACCATTGCATTGGGGGTTAGGGCTTCAACATACGAGTTTGGGGGGACACAAATGTTTAGGCCATAACACCTTGCATGTTCTTCTCTTGGAAGGAAATACCACAAGCTTACTCCCTGTGACAGGCTGGGCTCAATATATGACATCTTAATACTAAAGAGGGATAGGGATGGAATAACATTTAGATGGTAACTAAAGTGGACAGACCAGAAGGAAGTGGACCAAGCTCTAGCCTTTCTGAGCATAAATAACATATTCTGTGGAACGGCTAGCACTGCCTAACTTTTCCAGTAGAGTAGAATGTTTTCTGAAAAAGCCCAGAGTCTCTGAAGAGAATTGGTTGAGGAGACATATGGCACCATGAAAACAAAGCATGGGGAGCAGTGGTAGACACAATGCTAAAGAAATGTCTAGAGAGAGCAGGAATGGAGCAGTCAGGTGATGGCTTAGGTAAGTCTTACAGGCCACATAGGAGTTATCCATGTGAAGGACATGGAGAGGCACTCCAGGCAGAGGAAACAAGGAAGAGAAACAGCTGGGGAGACACAAAAGTAGGTTGATAGGTTCAAAGACAGTGGGAAAACCAACTAATTTCTAATGTCTTCTAAAGTCTTAAATATCCAAAGTCCAAATCTGCAAGCTGGACATGATCTTTCTAATTCACAAAATTATTTTTTAGCATGAATTAGGTCCTCATAAATTCCCCTTTTGGTTTCCTCCAGGAAGACAGATAGACAGACAAACATCTAGATGCATATACTGTATATTTTTGTCCTTAACTTTTTGTAATTTAAATCCATAAATTAGGTAATAATGCTGTATCAAATGCAATTCAGGATGAGCACAGATGTGGCCAGTTCCTGGGATGTGACACAAGGAGGTAGATTCTTATATCCCTGATAAATAATCTGGTCTGTGTCATTCTTCCCATCCCTCAGAGTAATCAATTCTAAAAGGTAAAGGTATAGCAAGAGAAATCAGAAAAAAAAAAAATTATTTGGTTTGGTGCTATCTGAAGCTTACGCTCCGCATTCTCACAGACGCTTTAGTAATATGTAAACTGTTAGGATTAAGTGGCTCCAGCTGGTGATAATTAGAACTGGAGAGAATGAGGAGACAGAAAGCAGAGGGGGGTGGTTGGGGAGAGCTCCATTTCCCTCCAGGAAGAAGCTGATTTTCTATTTCACTTGTCTCCATACCACCATGACCTCCCACCTCTCACTCCTCATCTGTCTCCACCCACCTCGCCTCACTTCTCCATCGGCAATGAGGGGCTGGTGGTGCAGCAAGATTAATCCAACCTGCCTTTTGTTTCTGCTGTGCTGTTTATGCTGATTCTTTGCCATAAATATGAAACTTGAGTTCTCTCTCATTCAACAAACATTATTGATTTAACATATGCAGGCACGGGTAGTTGCTGATAATATAGTAGTGGACAAAGTAAATTTGGTCTCCCATCACAGAGTGTAAATTCCAGTGTGTGATATTGACAAGTGAATGGTGTGATAAGAGCTGTAAAGGCAGAAATACAGGATACTACAGGAGCATGTAAACCTAGAAAACAGAAGCCCCAGGGTGGGCTGGGGTGGGGGTGGGGTAGTAATAGTTCAGAGAAGAGGGAGAGAATATACAAAGTCACACAGAGGAGAGAAAACACAGTCCAAACAAGGAACTGAGAAATAAATCAATATAACCGGAACATGCAGTGGAAAACTCCTTGGTGGTGAGAGATGTCTCAGGCATAAGTTTGAGATGCACGTGCAACATCTAAGTGGAGACATCCAGTAGACAGGGGCATACATATGTGCGCCTGAAACCCAGGAGAATGGTCAGGTTCAGATACGTCGCAAACTCTTCTCTCCAGCCTCTCCACAATCCTCTTAAGAAATACATTAGTTTGAAGGCAATGAGAATACTTGGTGGCTTTATAAAGAACTGCCATTAATGTGGAGGAAGTTTGAGGTTAGCAGCACAAAATTATATTTTCCTGCTCTTAAATTATCTTGCCTTAGAATGCCTTCTTTTATTGACAGTCTACTCTGCAATCAATTGAAACCTAAATGAGGGTTCATCCTTTGGGCAAGTAGCTACAAACTTAGTTCTTTATGCTAACAAAGGCTTCTATTTCCTTTGCTGAAAGTTCGTTGTCATCATTTTCTAACTATAATTGCTATTTATGCATTGACTTGAAAAACGGGATTCAGCATTAGATTAATGCTAGAAAGTTAACATTCCCCAAATTCAAACTCTACATCACAAAACTATAAACAAAAATAAATTATTTTATATCTACATTGTATTTTCATACATCTCACATCAAGTACAGTCAAAATAAACTTACACACCTTTAAATATTCTGATAAGCAAAAAATGTTATAGACTAACAAAGAGGTACTTACCTTTTCTTTCCAAACCAGAGTCAAGATTTATCCAGTCTCCTTTGTCACATTACAAAAATCCCTGTTTGCCTCTTAGTAGTTTGCAAACACGTTCTCATGTCTTTCCCAAGTCTCAGTAGCTTTAAGTGCAAATGGTACCAACGAGTAGGTTTTTAACGACATCTCCCTCATCCCTAAAACTTTCTACTGGGTTTCCAACTGACTGAGTTTCAGGAACTGTATCTTCTTCCCTTGTGATCTCTAACCTTTACCTAGTTTTCTTTTCTCTCTTTTTGCCTATACCGTTTTGCATGGTGTCCCAGACTTTCACAAAAGTCGTCTCTAGATAGGAAGCTACTTCACTCTTTAAAAGCTGGGCACAAAGTCACATAAAAATAACTATCCAATGAAGATAATTACAGAGATTTAAACTATAAATTTTTAATCGTACTCATATATTGATAATTAAAACAGTGAAGCCCCTTTCAAAGAGAAGAAAAATAAGACTCACTGAAGTTAGTGATACAAAGGTACTTGCTGATAAGCCACCATTTAATTTAGTAAATAATCACTAAGCTTCTCTTCGTAAGAGTGTTACATCTTAGATGTGAACAGAAAGCTGTAGGGTCCCTGCCTTATTCTTTCCACTCTGTGATAACTCTTGCGTAGATAGCAAGCTTTCAGCACATCCTGAAAAGCAACTAAGCTGTCCTTAGATGATGGCGCCATCTGGTGGCTAGTTCACAAATCTCTCAAAGGGCATGTCTAAGTTATCCATCTCAGGCAGCAACATTTTTACATACCTTTCTGTTCCCTATTCTTTTCCAATTTTTGCCGTTATCTCATATAAATTTATCTTCCTCTTCCTACATTCTCTGTTCTTTGTTCAATTTGTGAGAAAAATAAATAAATAAACACACCAGCCTAATCATGGCAAATAAGCATAAGAAGAGAATACCAGGTACATATCTGTATCAAAGAAAAGAAAAGGGGGCCGGCCCCATGGCGTAGCGGTTAAGTGCTCGTGCTCTGCTGCTGGCGGCCCAGGTTCGGATCCCGGGCGCGCACTGATGCACCGCTTGTCAGGCCATGCCGTGGCAGCATCCCATATAAAGTGGAGGAAGATAGGCACTGATGTTAGCCCAGGGCCAGTCTTCCTCAGCAAAAAGAGGAGGATTGGCATGGATGTTAGCTCAGGGCTGATCTTCCTCACAAAAAAAAAAAAAGAAAAGAAAAGCCATGAGATGGAAGACATGAAGAAACAGTAACAACAGAAGTTTCACCAGACATTTCCCTCTAGTGCCTCATCATCCCCAAATTTACTCAATTTACTCAAATACCAATGCAAAACAAAAAATCTCTCACTAAGTACTAGGATGGCAGCAGGTTGCTTTCTCATTATAAATGAGCACAACTGCAGCTAGGTCACAGATGGGAGAATCTGGAATTTTTGTAGGCTAATCTGAGAATTTTAACTGCCACTTCTAACATTATTCCTTTAAGGAAGTGCATTCTGAATTCAAATAGTTTTTAATTATGACCCTTTTATGTAGGGACTTCCTATAATTCCAATTTGGTACATCATAAAAAAGTAAATTGTTTCCACAGATATCTGTATAGCTCAGAGATTGGTCTGTAAAATGGGGATAATAAAATTTGGTTTGTTCAGGAAGAACTGAAGAAAATATTTTAAAGTAGCTAACACAATATTTGATAAATACTAAGTGTTCAGTTTACTCTAACACGTGAATATTTTGAGAGTGGGTATACAATTGGACTGATGAGCTATATGTTCAATTTTGGATCATTTTCTTACCAGTATTTATAAGCATAAAAATCACAGCTAAAATTCCTGATATGAAAAATAAGATGATTGACTCAGGTGATCTCTGAGTTTACATCTAGCTCCACAAATATCCTACAATTCTGCAATGCTCAGAATCTCTGTCACAACTGCACACAACTCACAGAAATCACTTTATAATCTAATATTGTCTGCAGTTTCAGGACACAAATAAAACTATTTTCCCCAACGCATCACTCCCTATTTACAGATTTATCTTCTATTAGGCAAATAATTGGAAAATAGTCCTTTTACTAATTGTATTAATATGAAATGAGTTTTGGTCCCTCTTGAAGCTGTCTCGTGTGATGTTTGAATATTAACTATTATCTAGGCACTCCTACAGATTTGTACACATGTTCCTAGGAAGATGTTTAAAAGTTGAATCTCTAAAAATCAAACAATAGACATGCTGTAAAGGATTCCAGCCCCTTATAACTACATTATACAATCTCTAATCATAGTTCTTGTAGGCAGGTGAAATCTTGGAAGAGGAACGGAGTAGAAAGCAGATAGGTCAGAAAGAAGTTGTCAGCAAAGCCCCCAACAGCCAACACCTTGTTATCCCAGGCAACTGAGGGGGCTGAGGGAGGCATCCCCTCTCCCATCCCTCCCCAAGGGCAGACAGCAGAAGCCCCTGAATTATTAACTCTAGAGTATCCTCACCGCCCATCCTTAGCCACTCCCTTACCAAGGATATACAAGGAGCTTGGAGCACGAGTGGGAAATGGGTCTGCCTATGGCTCCCTACCCCGGAAGGCAGTTGCCAAGGGAAGGAGACAAATCCAGGCACCTATGGGTTTAGGGACTCTGATAGTGAAAGGAAGCTCCAACCTGTGAAAACTCAAAATCCTCATTCGTCAGATGATGCTTATCCAAATTCAACACCCAAGAGACCATTTAGGAGAGTTCACGTAAAATGTAAAAATATGGGCTCACCACTTTCACTCAGTTATTGAAAGCCTCTTCCCCCTCCTATATGCACATCCAGCTGCAAAATGAATTGAGTCCTTAATTCCTGTGATTCTTGCATTCCACTGTGTTGAGTTACTTCACTGGAAATTTGTGGGAAGAGCCTCTCCTGCCCAGCTGGTTGAGGCACTATCTAGCACTAGCCTCCTGCATGTCCCAGGAGCTTGAGGTTGTCTAAGGGCTTGATCTGGACAGGCTAACCCAATTTTCCCTTCCATGTGGGCTATATTGCTATATTGTAAAGGGAAAACAATTCCCTTTACTTTGGGACATTCCAGTTAAGAAAATTCCTTCCAGCCACCATGCTCCACAAAGGCTCACTCAGGCGCTGCCTTTGTCAGGAGGGCCCTTCACCCAGTTATACAATCTCTCTGTACAGCCCTCACCCACCCAGGTCTCTGTGCAACTTTTCTGAAGACAATTATGTAACATAAATATACTAATCAAAAGCAATATACAAAATAAATATTCATAATGCTAGGATTGTGGGGGAGGGAGAGTGTAACTAAAGCATCTGGAATTGCCTGAAACAATGATTCAAATATAGTAAAAAAGGAAGAATTCCCTCATATCCTGTAATCAATGGTGGATCACCTCTGGAAGAATATTCAACAGGTGTCTGAAAAGACACAGGTGGGCTGGCCCCGTGGCTTAGCGGTTAAGTGCGCGCGCTCTGCTGCTGGCGGCCCGGGTTCGGATCCCGGGCGCGCACCGACACACCACTTCTCCGGCCACGCTGAGGCCGTGTCCCACATACAGCAACTAGAAGGATGTGCAGCTGAGACATACAACTGCCTACTGGGGCTTTGGGGGGAAAATAAATAAATAAATAAAATCTTTAAAAAAAAAAAAGAAAAGACACAGGTGGGCTGGGGCCTCCTGAACCCATAAAGACTTATGGTCCTTACTGGACCTACCATATGCAAATAAATAATCATAGAGGACTCCAGGATGGGCAGGCAGTACTCTATGAAGACAAAATTACATGATCACTTTCATAATATGAAAGTAAGAATTTTGTGTGTGTGTGTGTGTGTGTGGAAGATCAGCCCTGAGCTAACATCCATGCTAATTCTCCTCTTTTTGCTGAGGAAGACTGGCTCTGAGCTAACATCTATTGCCAATCCTCCTTCTTTTTTTTTTCCCCCCAAAGCCCCAGTAGATAGTTGTATGTCATAGTTGCACATCCTTCTAGCTGCTGTATGTGGGACGCGGCCTCAGCATGGCCAGAGAAGTGGTGCATCAGTGTGCGCCCGGGATCCGAACCGGGGCCACCCGTAGCAGAGCTTGCGCACTTAACCGCTAAGCCACAGGGCCGGCCCGAAAGTAAGAATTTTTTTTTTTTTAAGACTTTATTTTTTCCCCCCAAAGCCCCAGTAGATAGTTGTATGTCATAGCTGCACATCCTTCTAGTTGCTGTATGTGGGACGTGGCCTCAGCATGGCCGGAGAAGTGGTGCATCAGCGCGCGCCCGGGATCCAAACCCAGGCCGCCGGCAGCAGAGCACGCGCACCCAACCGCTAAGCCACGGGGCCGGCCCCGAAAGTAAGAATTTTTAAAGGCCATGAAAATCACAATTCCAGAATGGACAAGGGGCCCATCCTTGAAAAGATGAAGTTACCAAGAGCTGTAGATCCTCCCTTCATCCCCCAGCATGGAACACATCTACATATTTATTGAGCATCTCCCTCCCTGGTCCTGACACCTGCATCCCAGAGAAGTTCTGGCCAAAAATGGCTGGTCCTGGGTGGCATTTCTAGTGTAAACCATTGATTCCTTTTGGGTGTACCACTGCTGAACTCATAGTAAAGAACACTGACCAAAGAAGCAGAAGACAGTTACTGGATACGTGCGGCAAATGACTAAAGACAGGAACTCTAAGCTGAAAAACTCAGGTTCTCAAATCAAAGACAGCATTGACATTGTCACCTCTATAAATAATCCAGTCTGACACATGGAAACCTTTTCATGCTAGAACGGCATATCACAATAGAATAAAGGCCATCAGTTCAAGTATTTATGATTTTGCTTTTAAATTGGATTTACCTTATATGATATTTGCTAGAAAGTAAGTCCACAAGAGCAGGAATCCTTCTCTGTTTTGCTCAGTGACATGCTTCCTATGTGCTAGCCACTGTATATTTTTCACTTAATATGTATTACTATGTCTAAGAAAAATTGATATTAGAGATGGAAAAACATCACAGAAAACCTACTGCCCAGTCTTGTGAGGGTTCATCTAAGAAACATAAACAGTCAACAAATCTTTATATTAAAAAAAAACTTATAAATATCTATATAACTTAAGTATAAGCAAAAGAGATATTCAAAGGATCAGTTGTTAGCTAGATATTTATTGTTAAAATGTGAACTGCATTTATTCATTGAGAGAAATAAAAAAGAAATTAAGCAAGATGAAGCAGATGCACACAAGTCACATGTAAATTTGCTCACAAAAATTACCCTATTTTCTATAACAATAAGCAATTATAATCACCTGCAAGCACATATAATACTTAAAATGCATTCCACTAATGAATTCTTAAAGGAACACAGTAAAACTATTCAAGTTTCCATATCATCTAGCTATATCCAATCAATTTCATCCTTATCTTACTAACCTCACACTTCAATCCCTAGAAATCTCAAGCTTTAGGGTGCATCAGAATCACCTGGAGGGCTTGATAAAACACAGATTGCTGGGCACCATTCCAGAGATCTGATTCAGTAGTTCTTGGATGGGGATCAAGACTTTGCATTTGTAGTAAGTTCCCAGGTAATCCCGATGCTGCTGGTCCAGGGACCACACTTTGAGAACCTCTGCCCTAGAATATTCATTTTTCAACACACATTCATTTTCAAAATCGCAGAGCACAGTAAGTCAACCTTAGGCCTATGTATTTGATTATATGAATAGCAAGCAGGTCACACGTGAAAGAGGCTAAAATCAGCTTATTCACATATGCTTTAGATAAAATTGATATTCCAAAAGTATCTTTTGCTAATATAAATTCTTCAAAGAAATTCATTTTTATCTTTTTTAAAGCATATTTGAATTGAGATAAATTCTTTCTAACATATGGTACATTATCTTGAGTTTTGAGATCTTTCAAATGCTTACTTGGTGTCTTTTTGAAGTCATGTAATCTTAATACAGCTAAATATTTTCACCTTAAAGACTAAGAGAGAAATTTTATTACAGAAAATCAACTACTCTAAAAAATTATAGAGCAAATTCACTTTGGCTTCTTTATGGGAAACTTCATGTAATGTGCCAGTTTCTTCGAAGAACAATAACTGGGTAGTGTTAGAAGATGATTTCAATCTTTAAACCAAAATAAAATGAAGCAGTAATATGTTAAAGACATTCAGAATAAAAGTAGCCATCTACAGGGGCTGTGAAGTGATCATAAATTTAATAAAAGCACTTTTAAACAGTAAAAACTTATTTGAATGTTTTGTTAATATTGAAGATTCACTTTCTTCTAAAGTATTGAACAAGTTTGTACGGAGGCCAAACAGAAGGACAGGATTATCCCTGTCCCAATTCATTGCAGGGTGTCTCCTGAAGGGAGGTCCGACCTTGGTGTCTTATAGGAAATATTTGGATGAAAGTCAGCATGCTATTTTTTGTTTCCCACAGTCAGAAACCCCCAAACTCTTTGTAATTTTGTATATCTCATTTCTATGAGATATACAATAAGAAAACAATTCTTATACTATAATGAACATTCAGGTTAATTTCCAAGATATATCACTGTGTATTTCTCTAAGAAATCTTCTAAACCATCTTCTAAACCCTGAATTTATTTTGAATGACTTCCAATAATTCCCAAGACAATATTCATCTTAAGAATTGCCTTTTATCTATACATAAAAAAGATCAATTCCATCAGCTATTTACAAGTGAGTTCCAAGCCACACATTCACCACTCAAAAGTTTATCTGGGGGCCCGCCCAGTGACGTAGTGGTTAAGTTCGCACACTCCACTTCGGCCCCCGGGGTTTGCAGGTTGGGATCCCAGGCGTGGACCTACACACCGCTTATCAAGCCATGCTGTGGCAGGCGTCCCACATATAAAGTAGAGGAGGATGGGTATGGATGTTAGCCCAGGACCAATCGTCCTCAGCAAAAAGAGGAGGATTGGCAACAGACGTTAGCTCAGGGCTAATCTTCCTCACAAAAAAATAAATAAAAAAGTTTATCTAATTATTAAGTTAGCAGAAAGAACAAGAAACCAAAAATTGGCCCAATTATTAGAGTTATCCTTGTGATTAAATTGACCAGCAAGTTATCTGATCATTTGCTTATGGTGGTAGGTTC